ACACACACACACACGCACACAGAGCTGGGCCCAGCTGTGTGTGGGGAGGGCTGGGAAGGGCTGGTCACCCAGCTGAGCCTGTGGGTGCAGCTCACAGAACCTCGGATGCTCTCAGCTGTGCCTGGCGGGGCCTCGACGAGGGTCCTTCCACCTGAAGGAGAGCAGTGGACACCATCCTCTCTGTTCATCTAAATCCCACACGAGCAGATGGGACTCTGTTCCCCTAAGGAGGAAGTGGGCAAGCCGTGCCCAGAATAACAGAGTGTTGGGCCCCAGAGCAGTCAGGCAGAAATTCTGCACACTCCGGGTGACCAAAACTGGGCTGTAAAGTAGGGGGGAGGGTGGAAGGCAAGTGGGGAAGGGCTGACACCCCTGGGAAAAGCCAGGCTCCCAACCACACAGCCTAGCACGGCTTCTCCTATCCTAAAGCTGCAGCCCCATTTCTCTTCTTTTATTTTACTTCTCTGCCTCCCCTGTCTCTCCGTCCTGCCTGGGGCAGACAGTCCAAGGGAACCATCCATTCATTCATTCACCCATCCATTCATTCATTCACCCATTCCCTGGGGCACAGGGACCCATGTGACACAGTCCCTGTCCCAGATGAGCTCTCAGGCTCAGAGGGATGTGGACATGGACCTTCTCTACTCATCTCCCAGCCTTCGGGGCTGTGGACAGGGGTGGGGACAGGGGACGCCTTCCAAGGCTGCCCGTCTTTCATTTACAGAAACAGAGCCAGCCTGCTAAAGAGCGAGATCTGAGCCGAGGTAAAGAAAAGCTGGGCATTCCAAACCGAAGCTGAAGAGTGGCCCTCAGGGCTTGACGGCCTTGTTGGTTAAAAGATAAGGCGACAGTCTCATTCCTTCTGCGCCCTGGGCTTGGAGTGAAGCTGGGAACGAAGAAAATGGAGCTGCCATTGCTCTGCCTCCCCACGTAAACTCGCTTTCTCCATCGAGAGAGGGAAATCTGAGCTTAATTGTGAATTTAGATGGTGCCATCTCTGAGAGTGACTGTTTGTCCTTGGGTGGGGCATGTGTGGGGTGGTGTGAATAGTCACAGGAAGTCTTCAGGGAGAGTAAAGAGGGATGTCGTCAGCTCAAATAGCAGAGACTCCAAAAGGGATGGGATCTGTCCAAACCCACCTGGGCTGCCCCCTGCCAAGGGTCTGCCTGGTGCTGTTGCAGTGGACAGAAAAATGGTCCCCAAAGATGTCCACAGCTTAATCCCCAGAACCCGTGAATACATTGTTATAAGGCACAAGGTACTTGACAGATATGATTAAATTATGAATGCTGGGAGGTGGGACTATCCTGGACTATCCAGGCAGGCCCAGTGAAATCACAAGGGTCTTTATTTTATTTATTTATTTTTTTTAAAAGATGACCGGTAAGGGGATCTCAACCCTTGGCTTGGTGTTGTCAGCACCACGCTCAGCCAGTGAGCGAACCGGCCATCCCTATGTGGGATCCGAACCCGGGGCCTTGGTGTTATCAGCACCACACTCTACCGAGTGAGCCACGGGCCGGCCCCACAAGGGTCTTTATAAAAGTGGCAAGAGGGTCAGAGTCAGAGACATGACGACCAAAGTTGGGGTGGGGGAGAGAGAGATGTGACGATCTACACTGCTGGCTTTGAAGGTGGAGGGAGGGTCTATGAATCAAGGAACACAGGCAGCCTCTAGAAGCTGGAAAANAGCAGTCAGGCAGAAATTCTGCACACTCCGGGTGACCAAAACTGGGCTGTAAAGTAGGGGGAGGGTGGAAGGCAAGTGGGGAAGGGCTGACACCCCTGGGAAAAGCCAGGCTCCCAACCACACAGCCTAGCACGGCTTCTGCTATCCTAAAGCTGCAGCCCCATTTCTCTTCTTTTATTTTACTTCTCTGCCTCTCTTGTCTCTCCGTCCTGCCTGGGGCAGACAGTCCAAGGGAACCATCCATTCATTTATTCACCCATCCATTCATTCATTCACCCATTCCCTGGGGCACAGGGACCCATGTGACACAGTCCCTGTCCCAGATGAGCTCTCAGGCTCAGAGGGATGTGGACATGGACCTTCTCTACTCATCTCCCAGCCTTCGGGGCTGTGGACAGGGGTGGGGACAGGGGACGCCTTCCAAGGCTGCCCGTCTTTCATTTACAGAAACAGAGCCAGCCTGCTAAAGAGCGAGATCTGAGCCGAGGTAAAGAAAAGCTGGGCATTCCAAACCGAAGCTGAAGAGTGGCCCTCAGGGCTTGACGGCCTTGTTGGTTAAAAGATAAGGCGACAGTCTCATTCCTTCTGCGCCCTGGGCTTGGAGTGAAGCTGGGAACGAAGAAAATGGAGCTGCCATTGCTCTGCCTCCCCACGTAAACTCGCTTTCTCCATCGAGAGAGGGAAATCTGAGCTTAATTGTGAATTTAGATGGTGCCATCTCTGAGAGTGACTGTTTGTCCTTGGGTGGGGCATGTGTGGGGTGGTGTGAATAGTCACAGGAAGTCTTCAGGGAGAGTAAAGAGGGATGTCGTCAGCTCAAATAGCAGAGACTCCAAAAGGGATGGGATCTGTCCAAACCCACCTGGGCTGCCCCCTGCCAAGGGTCTGCCTGGTGCTGTTGCAGTGGACAGAAAAATGGTCCCCAAAGATGTCCACAGCTTAATCCCCAGAACCCGTGAATACATTGTTATAAGGCACAAGGTACTTGACAGATATGATTAAATTATGAATGCTGGGAGGTGGGACTATCCTGGACTATCCAGGCAGGCCCAGTGAAATCACAAGGGTCTTTATTTTATTTATTTATTTTTTTTAAAAGATGACCGGTAAGGGGATCTCAACCCTTGGCTTGGTGTTGTCAGCACCACGCTCAGCCAGTGAGCGAACCGGCCATCCCTATGTGGGATCCGAACCCGGGGCCTTGGTGTTATCAGCACCACACTCTACCGAGTGAGCCACGGGCCGGCCCCACAAGGGTCTTTATAAAGTGGCAAGAGGGTCAGAGTCAGAGACATGACGACCAAAGTTGGGGTGGGGGAGAGAGAGGGTCTTTATAAAAGTGGCAAGAGGGTCAGAGTCAGAGACATGACGACCAAAGTTGGGGTGGGGGAGAGAGAGATGTGACGATCTACACTGCTGGCTTTGAAGGTGGAGGGAGGGTCTATGAATCAAGGAACACAGGCAGCCTCTAGAAGCTGGAAAACACAAGGAAACAGATCCTCCCTTAGAGTTTCCAGAAGGAACACAGCCCAGCCGATGCCTTGATTTAAGAATTTTGATCTCCAGAACTGTAAGATCAAAAATCTGTGTTGTTTTAAGCCGTAATTGTGTGGTAACTTCTTACAGAAGCCAGAGAGAACTAGTGCAGCTAAGCTGGCTCGAACAGCTCAGCCACCGGCCAGCGTGGCCTGCTCGAGACTGCGTTCCACAGACGGTGCTGGCGGCAAACCCGCAGGCACAGGGGTGGCGTGGAATCGTCACGGGGAGGGTTGGCGGGTGGGTGTGGGCTTCTGCGGTGAGAAGACAACCTCCAGATGGTAACAAGGTCCCATTGTCTGGGTGTGCCCCTGAGGAGGCCCTGCAAGGATTCTATCTTTGTCCTTCCCACGTACTCTGGTGACAATCATAGGAAAGATCCCTTTTAATAGGATTCTCCAATGTTCTAATTCCATCTGGGGGTCCCCAACTCTTCAGTCAAGTCTGTTACACACGCGCAGCCTCGGCTTGGTGTGGTCCTGGGAAGTAAGAGGCAGGAAGTGGCGGAAGTGTGGCCGTGTCCACGTCATCCCATGGTCCCTGAGGCCACCTG